ATCTCTTCTTCTCTCTACTAATAAAAGAGTATCTATGCAGGATTTGCGCATGTACCTAAATTAACGCTTCCGTCACCTTTGTTGATAGATGAGTCACTGGAGCATAGTCCTTTGTCCAATGAGTGTAAGGTGAAGTCATACTTGGCATGAATGTTTTCCCCCTCATTTTGCTGCTGAACATATTACAATTGCCCAAAGACCGGAAGAGGGTGTTGGGGAAAACCCATTTTGTGTGAGGATGACAATACTAAGATGTCAAGCCAGGATATTAATAGAGGACCCAAGTCTCTGTTGAAACATAGAGACTTGTATCTGCTAACTACCCAGTATATGATACAAATGAACCAGAATTTGTTGTAAACCACTATTATTTGGGTTTAGGGTTCTTATACAATCAAACCTTCAAGTTTCTAACACAATTTATATGATAATATTTCTCTTAATTTTCTTTGTCTCTCCATTTGGGGACTCTCTATCTTAGAAGGTAACCTTCTGATTAACCCTCTATTTTGTTTTGTTGCTGTTTGTGTCTTTATTCTAATTGTTTCCTCATTGTCTTTACCCTCTGCTTGATATTCTTTTCATTTCTGTATCTATTCTTTTATACTTTTTTGAAATGTTTTTATTAAGTGATTAATTCTACATACATGCAATAGTAACCCATGTAAAGTCGTAAATTCAATTGTTTTTAGTTATTTCACAGAGTTGTAAAACCTGTCGGCACACATCCATTTTAGAACATTTTTTCATCATCCTTGAAAAAAAAAATGCCATGCCTTTAGTAGCCACCTCTGTCCTTCTCACCTCCCCTAGCAATAAACAGCCAGTTTCACTTTCTGTGGGAGGGCCGAGGTGGGTGGATTGCTCAGGTCAGGAGTTCAAACAGCTAGCAAAGAAGAGAGACCCCTTCTTACTAAAAATAGGAAATTAATTGGCCAACTAAATATATATCCCGGAGATTGAGGTTGCTGTGAGCTAGGCTGACGCCACAGCACTCACTCTAGCCTGGGCAACAAAGTGAGACTCTGTTTCAAAAAAACAAAAAACTTCATTTGGCTCAACACCATTTCATTACAATGCTAATGAGAAAAAAAAAATCGATTCCAGCTGAGGCCACTGTCTTTGTGGAGCTTGCACATTCTCATGTCTGCATGGGGGTTCTCTGGGTCCTCCAGTTTTCTCCCACATCTCAGAGCTGTACGTGTCAGGTTCATTGGCATGTCTATATGGCTCCAAGATAAGTGAGTGCAGGTGTGCATGAGTGTACCCTGTCCTGTCCAGGGCAGGTTCCTGCTTGGTCCCCTGCTCTGGCCACCCGGGACCCTGAACTGGAATAAGCAGGTTGGAAAATGAATGAATGAATACAATTGTAACGTCTACAATAATCGTACAAATGCACAATGATAAATGATGCCGTATGAGGGCGTTCAGTGAGGCCGCCACATTTGTGACTGTTTTGGATTGTGGGCAGGAGGGGCTCTTTGGAATTTTCACTTTGCAAACATTTATTCCTTGATTCAGCTCATCACAACTATGACCACTGTCACTCACTGACTCACCAAAAATTAGGTAAATAATTATCTCACTTGTTTGTATTAGTCTTTCTTAAATGCATGTGTAGCTCACATTTATTTCCATGTTTAATATTAGAAGTGTTTGGGGTCTTTAGAAGTTTGGTGATGTTTTTGTGACCAGAAATATGTTGTAGGAACCGAACTCTAGTTTGTATCAATTAGCTGATGGTAAAATTGTTTTCGTTATATACATTGTTTAGCTTAGAAGTCACAGTTTCCAATAACTTACTGATGACATTAAGTGAGGATTTACCATATTGTTCCAATGCTGAGAGCTTCCAGTGTTGCTAATGAGACATAATGTATACCGATTCTCGATCCTTGTATGTGACTCGCTTGTTCTCTCTGAAAGCTTTCAGGATTTTTTTTAAAAAGTCTAGTATTCTTACATTTTACAATGTTATGGCTTATTGTGAGTCTTTTTTTAATTCTTTGTCCTAGGTACTAAGTGGGCTCTTCAAATCTAGGAAATCAGTCTCCTAGTTCTTGGGAAACTGTTTATTTCTGTAGTTGAGGTCTCTGATTGTCTACCAAATCCATCTTTCCTTCTCTCCTACTAAAAGAGTATCTATGCAGGATGGCAATGTGCCTAATTAACGCTTCCCAGTCACCTTTGTTGATAGATGAAGTCATGTGACACAGTCCTGTCCAATGAGATGTAAGGTGAAGTCATACTTGGCATGAATGTTTTCCCCCTCATTTTGCTGCTTGAAACATAGTTACAATGCCCAAGACTGGAAGAGGGTGTGTGGAAACCATTTTGTGTGAGGATGAGAATAAAACTAAAGATGTCAAAGCCCAGAGATATTAATAGAAGGAACCCAAGTCTCTGTTGACAACATAGAGACCTTGTATCTGCTAACTACCCAGTATATGATAAAAATGAAACCAGTAATTTGTTTAAACCACTATTATTTGGGTTTAGGGTTCTATACAATCAAACTCAAGTTCTAACACAATTTATATGATAATATTTCCTCTTAATTTTCTTTGTTCTCTCATTTGGGGGGCTCCTATTAGAAGGTAAACCTTCTGAATTAACCCTCTAATTTTGTTTTGGTGCTTGTCTTTTGTCTTTTTATTCTAATTGTTTCCTCATTGTCTTCTAACCCTCTGTTGATATTTTTCATTTCTGCTATCCTATTCTTTTTTACTTTTTTGAATGGTTTTATTAAGATATAATTCACATACCATGCAATATACACTCATGTAAAGTGTAAAATTCAATTGTTTTTAGTATATTCACAGAGTTGTACACCTGTCGGCACACTCAATTTTAGAACATTTTTTCATCATCCTGAAAAAAAAATGCCATGCCCTTTAGCTAGCACCCTCTAGTCTCCCTACCTCCCCTAGCCACTAAACAGCCAGCTTCACTCTGGGAGGCCGAGGTGGGTGGATTGCTCAAGGTCAGGAGTTCAAAACCAGCCTAAGCAAGAAGAGCAAGCCCCCTTCTCTACTAAAAATAGAAAGAAATTAATTGGCCAACTAATATATATAGAAAAAATTAGCCAGGCATGGTGGCGCATGCCTGTAGTCCCAGCTACTTGGGAGGCTGAGGCAGAAGGATTGCTTGAGCCCAGGAGTTTGAGGTTGCTGTGAGCTAGGCTGACGCCACGGCACTCTAGCCAGGGCAACAGAGTGAGCCTCTGTCTCTCAAAAAAATAAAAAATAAAAAATAAACCAACTAGCTTCTTTGTGTCTCTGCAGAGTTGCCTATTCTGGACATTTCATATAAACAGAGTCATAAAATATGTGTCCCTTTTTGTCTAGCTTCTTTCACTGAGCATCATGTTTTCAAGAGTCACCCGTGTTGTAGCATAAATCAGTATTTCATTCTTTTCATAGCTGAATAATATTCCACTGTATGGGTAATACTGTGTCCTATTATTAATTTCTAAGCATTCTTTCATAATCTCTGAGCTTTGTTCCTTTTCATAAAATGCTCTACTTGTGTCGTGGATACATTATCTTCTCCTTCTGATGTTGTCTTCATCCTGCACCATCTGTTTTTTTCCAAGTTCCTTTTTCTCTTTTGTTTTGACATCTGGCCTTCATAGTAGAGGCTTTCCTCGAGCATCTGGTGATCCTTGACTGTCTGTTCATCAAATTGCTGATCAGTTCAGTGTGTGTGTATGGGGTTGTCAACTGGTGAGCCCACCATAAGATGATGGGAAGTACTGGCTTTTTCTCTTGAGCTAACTACTTCCCCCAGGTGCTCCACGGAGCATTACTCCTATTGTAGTCGATGAAATAATGGTTCCTTACAGTTCTGCAATGCAGTCACCCTGCACAGAAAAAGCAGTGAGCCAGTGTACCATCTCAGGTGGTGGGGTAAGACAGTGGCTGGTCATATATGACTTTTGGATACGTACTCATTTTAGGCTTTGTGATTTGTTTTCTTTTTCTTTTTGGTAGAGACAGGAGCCTCACTCTTGCTCAGGCTGGTCTTGAACTCCTGAGCTTAAGCAATCCTCCCACCTCAGCCTCCCAGAGTGCTAGGATTACAAGTGTGAGCCACCACGCTCAGCCTAGGCTTTGTGTTCTTGCCCTCTGCTATGCCTCATGTCTCCTGGATCAGAACCTCTCTGGTTCACTCCCTTCAGATAGCAAATCTGTCACCTGCTAGATGGTAGAGGTAGATGGCCATGTGGAGCGAGGGGGAAGATCTGGGGTCTAGCTCCTTCTACACAGCCTTTGGGTGAATCCTCTTGTCTTCAGTCCCATCCTGATCCCTGTGGGTTTAGAGATGTCAGGTGCTTCCCATTTCTGAGCCTGTTAAGGATCTACGGTATATTCAGTCTACACTTTGTTGGCTTCTCCCAGTGTAGACACTCAGCAGAATGAAAATAGCTGAAACTAAATGAGATGCCTTTGGTCCAAATACTTACATCTTTTGTTGACATCTTTTGCATCTCCTCTGCCATGCACTTCTTCCTACTTTAGTCCTTTATGGCTATCTCAGTGGGTGTGAAGAGGAGTAGACATAGGGCATGTGTTCGATCTGCAGAATTAACTGCAAGTTGACAGCTCCAGGTGAGGAGGCAAGCCTAGGTGAGTCCTGAGAATGCAGCCTGACAATCTTCGGGCTGAGGCCACCGCAGCATGTGGACTTAAAAAAAAAAATAGCAAGTTATAAAGAAAACCATTAATCTACTTCACAGTTTTATCTAGAGAGGCCTAAGCCAAAATAAACACATATCTAAAATAGCTCCCAAGTTTCCTCTTGAGTGCCCAAGAAAGCAGCTGCATATAATTACAACAATAAAAAACACCCCTGCAGGCAGAACTGTCAGATTCCAGCCCTGGTCTGTCCAGGCCATTAACTGTCCATTAGGCCAGGTCACTTGTCACAGACGCTGCTGCCCCACTGCTGGGGCTGGTACTTACTTAGCACTAGTGTGCCCAAGCACTTTACATATTTTAACATCTTAATCCTCCCAGCCATCATGTCCTGCAGCTACTATTATCATCCCCAGTGGGATACACAGGGGCCCTTCAAATCCCTGGGTTCCAGAGATGCAAAGGCTTCAGCAAAGCTCAGATTGAAAATATTTGGAAGAAACAATTGAGTCTGTACTGAACAGGTATAGACTTATTTTTCTTGTCATTATTCCCTAAACAATACAGTATAACAACTATCTACATAGCATTTACATTGTATTAAATATCATTAGTAATCTGGAGATGATTTAAAGTATACAAGAGGATGTGCATCGGTTATAGGCAAATACTATGCCATTTTATATCAGAGCCTTAAGCATCCGTGAATTTTGGTATATGTGGGGACAGGGGTCCTGGAACCAAGCCCCCACAGATACTGAGGGATGATGGCTGTGGCACAGAGCAGTTGAATAACTTGCACAAGTTCACAGCTAGGATAGTTAGTGCAAGTAGAATGAATGGTTAGCAGTGCAAACAGAATGGTTCAAAGCCAGGGTTTGAACCAAGGGAGATCCTGTCTAGAGTCTTTGCTCTTACAAATGCACCATGGATAATGAATGATACTTGAATTTATGTATCACCCTGCAACTTTCGGAACATTTTTCCATGATCTCATTGGATCTTATGCTCTGATTTCACAATTGAGAAAGCTGAAGCCTGTCTGGCTTATTCACCATCTGCAGTTTACCTTACTATTTTACCTAATGATGACACTGACGTGCTTTGCTTTTAAGACTTACAGCATTTTGCAGCCCTAAGCTCAGCCCTTCGTTGGTTCATTTTGATGATTATAGACATTCATTTTCATGGAATTCCAAGAAGAGGCATTATAAAGGGAATATAAATTTTAAAGTGCAGGTTGTAAATTGTTGGTTTTAAACCTTCTGAGTTTTAAACTCAGAAGGGGCGGGCATGATGGTGCACACCTGTAATCTCAGCACTTTGGGAGGCCAGGGCAGGAGGGCCACTTGAGCTCAGGAGTTTGAGACCAGCCTGAGCAACATTGTGAGACCCCATCTTTACAAAACATACAAAAATTAGCCAGTCGTGGTGGCACACACACCTGTAGTCCCAGCTACTCAGGAGGCTGAGGCAGGAAAATCACTTGAGCCCAGGAGTTTAAGGTTGCTGTGAGCTGTGATGACATCACTGCACTCTAGCAACAGAGTGAGACCCTATCTCAAAAAAACACAAACCATAACTCAGAAGGTATTTTCCCATAGAAATAATGAGAGTCATGATCACTAGGTATATAAGCTAGCCCACAAATGCTAGAATGTTCCTTACTGGCACCACAGTTTAACTGTAGCACTCCAGGGCCTGGGGTGAGGACAGGTGGTGGCCATAGCACCCCCCATTGGGGGGATGAACCTGGCACTGGAGGGTGTCTGCGAGGGGCTGAGCAAAGGCCAGAGATCAGCTGAGTGAGGTGACATGGGGGCTGGCCGGGCATAATTTATACATACAGCTCTGCACAAACCCATCCACTTAAATGCAAGGGAATAAAATTTTCCATTTAATCATAGATATTTTTCTGGAACAGCTGACACTCCACATCTAAGGGACATGGACACTTTGGTTTCTATGCCTCGCAAGGACAGAGACAGTTGCATGGCAGCCCTGAGGCCAGCTGAGAGCCATGTGCAGAGGGAACATCACGTCCAGATGATTTCCCCAAGGAATTCTGCTCCTGTCTCTCTAGTCATTAGGCCCTTATTTTACTGTTAGCCTGTAGACCTTGTATTGTTAGAGGCTCTTTTTGTCCCAGGGTAACATTAGAAAAATCTCATATTCAGAGCTAATGGAATCAATCATTTTTAATGACAACTTCTAAGTTTTACATGCTTCCAAAATAGGGATCTTTTGGGGATAAAGCACTTATAAGCTTGATCCAGGATAAGAGCTGGGCATAATCATGTTTTCATTGACTAATTATAATAATTAAAATCATATTAATCATTCAGTTACTCATCTATCTCTTTTGCTCATTCTAAAAAATGTGAGGTGACCAAAAGTGGTTTTGCTTGTTGGTTTTTTGTTTGTTTGTTTGTGTTTTTAGAGATGGGGTCTCATTCTGTCACCCAAGCTGGAGTGCAATGACACAACCATAGCTTACTGCAGACTTAAACTCCTGGGCTCCAGCGATCCTCCTGCCTCAGCCTCCCAAGCAGCTGGGGTTACAGTTGAACACTATCACACCTGGCTAATTTTTTGTAGAAATGGGGTCTCGCTATGCTGCCCAGCCTGGTCTCAAATGCTTAGCCTCAAGGAATCTTTCCACCTCAGCCTCCCAAAGTGCTGGGATTATAGGCATGAGCCACTGTGCCTAGCCTGTTGGGTTTTTTTGTGTCTATGAATTTCCTGCAATTGCAGAAGAGTAAAATTTTCTGTGTAGAGGGCTGGTTTTCCTTGTTACCAGTGCTCAGAAATTGTTTTATTTTATATTTTTTCCTGAGAGAAATTAAATAGGTCTTGCAACCAATCCAACCTGCCTCCTGGCCACAAAGCATCCCCTCTGTTTAATATCAGAGAGGAACTGATAAGAGAGCTGCCATCTTAAATTCTAGAAGCTTCTTGATGACTTGACCAGAAGCCAGGCTGCCAAGGCCGGAGGCACAGCAGAGCCTTCTAGACCCTGAAGCTGCAGTGTTGGGAGACTGTAGTACCTTTTAAAGTTTTTGAATAAGCGAAACCCTCTCAAGGGATTTTTCTTATTTTGAGCTTAAAATAAACCACAGAAAAGCACTTGCAATCTGAATCATCTTCTTGCTTGGAGGCATTTGCAGCTGTAAATTTCCCTCTGAATGCTGCCTTTGCTGCATCCCATAACCATCAGTATGTTGCATTTTTTCCCCATTTATTTTAAAGTATTCTAATTTCCCTTGTAATCTCTTCTTTGATCGCTTCATTGTTTAAAAGCATGTTGTTTAATTTCCATATATTTGTTCTGCAATTGATTTCTAACAACATTCTGTTGTGATCAGAGAAGCTACTTCTAGTATTTTATCGTATTGTATTATTTCAATCTTTTAAAATGTATTGAGACCATTCTGAGGGCCTAACATATGGTCTATCCTGAAGAATGTTCCATGTGCACTTGTGAAGAATGTGTATTATGTACAGCATATTTTTATGCTGTGTTTCGTGGGGTGTTCTATATATGTCTATTAGGTTTAAATGGTGTATAGTGTTATTCAAGTCCTCTATTTCCTTATGACTCTTCTATCTAGATGTTCTACTCATTATTGAAAGTAGGATATTGAAGTCTTCAGCTATCATTGTAGAACTATTTTCCCCTTCACTTCTATCCATGTTTATGTCATCTAGTTTGGAGCTTTGTTGTTAGGTGGGTCTATAGTTATAGTTGTTATATATTCTTGATGAACGGATCATTTTACCAATATATAATGACCTTATTTATTTCTTATAATAATTTTTGACTTAAATTCTCTTTTGCCTTATATTGCTATAGCTACCCTAGCTCTTCTTTGGTTATCATTTGCATAGAATATCTTTTTCCATCTTGTCACTTTCAACTTATTAGATCTAAAATGAGCCTTTTATAGAGAGCATTATCTGCTTTTAATTAATATACTTTACTTTTAGAAGCAGTCTTAGGTTTATAGAAATACTGACTAGAAAGTACTGAGAGTTTCTATATACCCACTGCTTCCCCTGCATACAGTTTCTCTTATTATTAGCATCTTACATTAGGTTCATTAAGGTTCTTACATCTTACATTAGGTACATTAAGATTCACTCTTTGTGTTGTATGCCCTGTGAGCTTTAAAAACTATATAACAATGACATGTCTGCTGGACACGGTGCCTCACACCTGTAATCCTAGCACTCTGGGAGGCCGAGGCAGGCAGATCATTTGAGCTCAGGAGTTCGAGACCAGCCTGAGCAAGAGCGAGACCCCGTCTCTACTAAAAATAGAAAGAAATTAGCTGAACAACTAAAAATATATACAAAAAAATTAGTCAGGCATGGTAGTACATGCCTGAAGTCCCAGCTACTCGGGAGGCAGAGGCAGAAGGATCACTGGAGCCCAGGAGTTTGAGGTTGCTGTGAGCCAGGTTGACACCACAGCACTCTAGCCCGGGCAACAGAGTGAGACTCTGTCTCAAAAATAAATAAATAAATAATAATAAAATAAAAATAAAAACTATATAATGACATGTATCCACCACTACAGTAGGTAACAGAATAGTTTCAATGCCAGTCTACCAGCCTCTATATTTTAGTTAGTGAGCATAATCCATTTATATTTAAACTCATATTATTTAATATTATAAATATTATATAATTACTTAATATATTTATATGCATAATTATTATATGTTATATATTATATTACTGAAACTTTACTTCTATCACTTTTTTTCTATATCTTTTTTTTCTTAATTCCTTTGATCTACCTTCTTTTGCATTTCATTGATTTTTTTTAGTGTACCATTTTCATCTTTTCCTTTTGTGTAATTTTTAAAGTTACTTTAAAGTGGTTACCATGGGGATTATATTTAGTATCCCAAATTTATAATAATGTAGTTTGTTTGAATTGATCCCAACTTACCTTCTATAACACATACAATTTCTGTTTCTGTACAACTTTCCACCCTTCCTTATATTGTTATTGTCATAAATTACATCTTTATACATTGTGTG